ACACACACACACACACATACACATACACACACACACACACACACACACACATACACACACACACACACACACTCATCCAGAGCTCAACACACACACTGATCTACAGCAGATCCTCCAGAAACACACTCTACAGGCTGACACTGCGCTCTGATTGGCCAGTCTCTCGCTCATCTGCATACTCAAACACCATTGGCTGACAGTGCTGCTTCTCAATGTGTGATTTGAATATAAAGATGCCATTCAAATCACAAAGAGGCATTAATATAAAAGTGTTTATGCAAATGAAGATCTCATAATGCAGATTACTGATCAAACATCAGAGCTCTGCTGCGTTTACTGCAGGAAATGAGCCCAATGTTCCTCTGGAGCATCATCTTCACACAACCTCCTCATGGTCAGACCCATACAGAGTGTGTTCTGTCAATTAACATGACCCATTAGCACTCTGTGCCAGTGGGCGGAGCTAGAGAGTCACTCCTCTAATCTGACACTCTATTATTGGTTGAGTGGGAGGAGCTAGAGAGTCACTCCTCTAATCTGACTCTATTATTGGTTGAGTGTGAGGAGTTAGAGAGTCACTTCTGCAGTCTGACACTATTATTGGTTGAGTGGGAGGAGCTAGAGAGTCACTTCTGTAATCTGACACTATTATTGGTTGAGTGGGAGGAGCTAGAGAGTCACTCCTCTACTCTGACACTATTATTGGTTGAGTGAGCGGAGCTAGAGAGTCGCTTCTGTAATCTGAAACTATTATTGGTTGAGTGGGCGGAGCTAGAGAGTCACTTCTGTAATCCGACACTCTATTGGTGGAGTGGGCGGAGCTACAGAGTCACTTTTGTAATCTGACACTATTTTTGGTTGAGTGGGTGGAGCTAGAGAGTCGCTTCTGTAATCTGACACTCTATTGGTGGAGTGGGCGGAGCTAGAGAGTCGCTTCTGTAATCTGAAACTATTATTGGTTGAGTGGGCGGAGCTAGAGAGTCACTTCTGTAATCCGACACTCTATTGGTGGAGTGGGCGGAGCTACAGAGTCACTTTTGTAATCTGACACTATTTTTGGTTGAGTGGGTGGAGCTAGAGAGTCGCTTCTGTAATCTGACACTCTATTGGTGGAGTGGGCGGAGCTAGAGAAGTCACTTTTGTAATCTGACACTATTATTGGTTGAGTGGGCGGAGCTAGAGAGTCGCTTCTGTAATCTGACATTCTACTGATTGAATGAATGGAGCTAGAGAGTCGTGTGTGTATTTGGGTATATATGTATGTGTGTGTGTGTGCGTGCGTGTGTGTGTGTGTGTGTGTGTGTGTGTGTGTTTTGGAATTACTTCAAGCATCAGCTTAATTTCTGTATTCTTTTCCTGATGGCGTGTGTGTGTGTGTTGGATTTACTTCAGGCATTGTCTATTTTTTGTATTTTTTAATGGTGTGTGTGTGTGTGTGTGTGTGTGAGTGTGTGTCTGTGCTCTACATCTTCAGGAAATTCTCCAGGGCAGATTAATTAAGAACCGAAACAAATCACTAAAGCATTAAACAGTTTGCACGTTTCTCAGAATCTGAGGTCTGATAACACACACACACACACACACACACACACACGCACACACACGCACACACACACACACAGTAAAGCGCAGAAGAGTGGCGGGCTGGATCCTGACCTGAATTAAGCATTACAGTGAGTGTGTTTAGTGGTGTGTGTGGTCCGGGCTGTGCTCCAGAACTCTGTGTGTCCTCCTGAACGGCTGTGTTCTGACCTCGGCCTCCTCCACATGGATCGAGATGTAAACTGAGGAGAGCGGCGTTACTGCGGATGATGGAGATGAGGAAACGCTGCTGAATCTGCTCCCGGAGGAGCTCTGAAGACCCTCATCCACACCATCAGTCTGTGTGTGTGTGTGTGTGTGTGTGTGTGAGTGTGTGTGAGTGTGTGTGTGTGTGTGTGTGTGTGTGTGTGTGTGTGTGTGTGTGTGTGTGTGTGTGTGTGTGTGTGTGTGTGTGTGTGTGTCTGGAGCAGTGTTCTGTTGGGAGCACCAGTGTAATGTTCACTCTGAGCTTCTCTCTCCTGTGTGTTCAACACTTGATGACTGCTCAAACAGCCGCTGAATGGTGAATCGGCTCTACTGAAGCCTCAGAGCATTCTGGGAGTGTTTTACATTCACCGGTGGCAGCTCTTAACAACACATCGAGTTCATTTAAACACACACACACACACTCACACATGTTATGAATGATTAATATGCAGGTTAGTGTATGCTCCGTTCAGCTGCTTTAGTTTTTGTCAGCTTTGTGTTTAATCAAAGAATTATTAGACTATAATGAGAGTGGCTCAGTGGTGTCGCATTGTCACCTCACTGAAAGAAGGTCTCTGGTTCGAGTCTCGGCTGGGTCAGTTGGTGTTTCTGTGTGGAGTTTGCATGTTCTCACGTGTTGGCATGGGTTTCCTCCGGGTGCTCCGGTTTCCCCCACAGCCACTCTGATGATTGACCGTAGTGTATGTGTGTGTGTGTGTGTGTGTGTGTATGGATGTTTCCCAGTACTGGGTTGCAGCTGGCAGGACATCCACTGTGTAAAACATATGCTGGAATAGTTGACGGTTCATTCCGCTGTGGCCACCCCTGATAAATAAGGGACTAAGCTGGAGGAAAATGAATGAGTTTCAGCTGTGATCAGTGTTTAGTGTGTAGCTGTTGTGTGTAGTGTCCAGCATCTGCGTGATGATCAGGATAAAGCACATCCAGACGGTTGTTTTCTCAGAATAAAGCTTCAGTCCTCTACAGCAGTGCTGATAAACCTGAGTGACTTTATTCTGAGATAACACCCTGCTGGATCTACTTTCTCTCTAACATACACTTCATGTCTACATTTAGTCAATTATCAGATGCTGTTGTGTGTGTGTGTGTGTGTGTGTGTGTGTGTGTGTGTGTGTGTGTGTGTGTGTGTGTGTGTGTGTGTGTGTTAGTGTGCAAGCGTGTATGAGTGTGTGTTGGAATATACTGCAGTATAAAACCTTAAGCCACACTCTATAAATCTGGCATCTTGTGGTTATGTGTGTTCAGTTTGCATTGTTATTAATGTGAGTATTGTGTATTAAAGGAGTATAATGATGAATGGGGCTGATTGTTAATAAAGAACAACATGAGAAAGATCTTTAATGAACTTTCAGTCTGTCTGCAGCGGCATGTGTGTTTACTATTAGGAAATGTAGGAATGGAGAATTAAATTGAATAGATATTATGTAAAATAAGCTTAATGTGAGGAAGATTCAACATTAAAACCAGTGATAGAGGACAGATGTGGTGATGGGGTGGGCAATATAATACGCTTGTGCCTCATCCTGCTTCATTTCCAGCCGGCTGCATGTACAGTATTTGTTATTTTCGGTGTGTATGGAGAACTAGATATCTCATTGATCTGGATGAAATGTGTTTCGCTTGAAGAATTGTTTTAACTGTACAGTTGAAGTCAGAGTTATTCGCCCTCCTGTAGATCCTTCTCCAATTTCAGTTTAACAGAGAGCAGATTTCTTCAACACATGTCTAATCATAACAGTGTTAATAATTAATCCCTAACAACTGATGTATGTTCTCTTCTCCATGATGACAGTAAATAATATTAGACTAGATATTCTTCAAGACACTAGTGTTCAGCTTACAGTGACATGTAAAGGCTTCACTAGGGTAATTAGGGTAAAGTTAGGGTAATTAGGCAAGTCATTGTATAACAGTGGTTTGTTCTGGAGACAATCCAACACTAATATTGCTGAAGGGGTGAATAATATTGAGCTTAAAATGGCTTTAAAACTGCTAAGAACTGCTTTTATTCTGGCCGAAATAAAACAAATCAGACTTTCTCCAGAAGAACAAATATTATCAGACATACTTCCTGAATCTGTTCAACATCATTTGGGGAATATTCTCAGTAAGGCGAGTGATTCTGACTTCAGCTGTAGGATGTAAATAAATCCAGTGAACTCAGATGTTCCTCCTGTGTCTCAGCAGGTAAAGAGGAGTCGGTGGCCACCTTCAAGGGGAACGAGTTCTTCTGCTATGACCTGTCTCTGACGCCCATCCAGAGCAGCACTGACGAGATCACGCTGTCCTTCCGCACGCTGCAGCGCAACGGCCTGATGCTGCACACCGGCAAATCTGCAGACTACGTCAACCTGTCCCTGAAGAGCGGCGCCGTGTGGCTCGTCATCAACCTGGGCTCCGGAGCCTTCGAGGCCCTCGTGGAGCCCGTCAACGGCAAGTTCAACGACAACGCCTGGCACGACGTCAAGGTCACGCGAAACCTGCGCCAGGTAAGAGCTCAGCAGTCTTCTTGTTTGTGTTATTGATTGATCTCTTTCGGGAGGTTGGCGGGAAATGCTTTTTAAATGTTCCTAATCTGACAGCAGCGGATGGATCCTGACTGGACTACAAGTGTGTGTGTGTGTGTGTGTGTGTGTGTGTGTGTGTGTGTGTGTGTGTGTGTGTGTGTGTGTGTGTGTGTGTGTGTGTGTGTGTGTGTGTGTGTGTGTGTGTGTGAGTGTTAGGGATGGGTGATGTGGACTTAAAATCATCTCTCATTTTCTGGTATTTTTTGCTATGACTGTATCAATGACGATATCAATGACAATATCAACGATGATAATTATGACGATATCAATGACGGTATCAATGTTGATATTAACGACAGTAGCAATGAAAACATCAGTGATAATATTAATGTTGATAATAATGATGATATTAATGACAATAATAATGATGATAATATTGACAATATTAATGACGATGACGGTATTAATAACTATAAAGATGACGATAAAAATAAAGATGACTGTATTAATGACAATAATAATGTCGATATTAATGACGATAATAATGACAATATTAATGACAATAATAATTACGGTATTAATGACAATTTTAATGACGATAATAATGGCGATAATAATGACGGTATTAATGATGATATTAATGGCGATAATAATGACCATAATAATGACAATATTAATGACAGTATCAATGACGGTATCAATGACAACATCAATGATAATATTAATGACGATATTAATCATGATATTAACGACAAAATAATGATGATATTAATGACAATATTAATGACGATGACGGTATAAATTACAATAATAATGACCATAATAATGGCGGTATTAATGACGATAATAATGACGATAATAATGATGATATTAATGACGATATTAAGGACAATAATAATGACGATATTAATGACGATAATAATGACGATAATAATGATGATATTAATGACGATATTAAGGACAATAATAATGACGATATTAATGACGATATTAATGATGATATTAATGATGATATTAACAACGATAATAATGATGATATTAATGACGATATTAAGGACAATAATAATGATCATAATAATGACGATAATAATGACGATATTATTGATGATATTAACGACTATAATAATGATGATATTAATGA